AGCCATGGTTAGTTTCTTATTGCAGGATCTATCCAACACTGCCAAAGGGGTGTTAAAATCTCAGACTATTATGATGTTGGAGGAAATCACATTGCTCATGTCTGTTAGAGTCTTTCTTATAAATTGAGGTGCATTTTGTTTGGTCACATAAATGTTAATAATTGAAATCTTACCATGATGAATGTTGCCCTTAACAAATATGAAGTGAGCATCCTTATCTTTCCTTACTTTTGTTGGTTTAAAGCCTATTGTATCTGTGAATGAAATTGCAACACCTGCTTTTTTCTGATTTCTATTTGCCTAAATTATAGATGACCATCCCTTCACCCTGAGTCTGTATTTATCTTTTAAGGTAAGATGAGATTCTTGAGTGCTACAGATATCTGGCCTGAATTTTTGTATCTAGTCAGCCAACCTATGTCTCTTTAGAGGCCAGTTTAAGCCATTCACATTAATTGAGAGCATTGATAAGCCTGGTAGTATTTTGGGTATCGAGTTTTTCAAAAGTCTAGTGAACATTTTTTTCCTTTCACCACTGTGGAAGTTGGAGTTTGATCAAAATTTTCTGAGTGGGTTTACTTTGGTGGTAGAGGATTGTGCTTGTCATTATGGAGGATGGGTCTGAGAATATCTTGGAGAACTGATTTAGTTATGGCAAATTTCTTCAACATGTGAATGTCACTAAAGTATTTAATTTCTCCATCATAAATGAAACTCAGTTTAGCTGAATACAGGATCCTGGATTGAAAGTTATTTTGTTTTAGCAGTTTAAAGGTTGATGACCACCTTCTTCTAGTTTGAAAGGTTTCAGCAGAGAAATCTACAGTCATTCTAATATTCTTCCCCTTATAGGTTATGTTTTTCTTACATCTGGCTGCTTGCCGAATTTTGTCCTTCATTTTAACCTTGGTGAAGTTAATTATAATGTGTCTGGGAGATGTTTTATTTGGGTTGAGTCATGCTGGGGTTCTGAAACTGTTTACCATCTGAATTTCAGAATCTCTTGCCATGTTTGAGAAGTTCTCATTGATTATTTTTTGCAGTACAGCATCTGTGCCTTTTGAAGCAACCTTGTCACCTTCAGGAATTCCTATAAGGCAAATATTAATTTACCTTGAATTATCCCAGAGCTCTCTGAGAGAATGATCCGTTTTTGCTCTCCACTTCTCTTCCTCTTTGAGCATTTGCGAGTATTGAAAGGCTGTCTTCAATGTCAGAGATCCTTTCTTCTGCCTGCTCTATTCTGTTACAGAGGGATTCTACTGTATTTTTCAGATTTTTGAGGGCTGGAAGTTCTTGCCTCAGTGTGTCAAAATCTTTGGTGATTTTGTCTTTTAATTCATTGAATTCTTGAGAAAACTTTTGAATTACTCCTTGAAATTCTTTTTTTTAAATTAAATGATAGCTGTATATATTAATGCAAACATGGGGTACAGTGTAGTGTTTTCATATACATTTTGAAATACTTTCATCAAGCTGGTTCACATAAATTTCATGTCATTTGAAATTCTAATTCCATCTTTACCTCCATTCTGTTGATCTTACTTGCCATCCAAATTCTGATCTCAATTTCTGACATCTCAGCCATTTGTTTATGAATGGGATTATCTGGTGTGTCTGTTTTGTCATTTCTTGGGGGAGTTGATCTACTCTGACTATTCACGTTGCCAGAGTTTTTCCACTGATTCCCCCCATGATTATTTTTCCCTTTGTGGCTAGATGGGCAGGTAAGGTGAAATTGGATTGGGGGCTTCTGTAGTTGTGGTTATCCAGCCCTTTGCCAAGGATCTGACACTGGGGACTGTTGCTTTTTCCCTTACAGCTTTATGAAGGACCCATACAATATTACATTCTGAGGCTCGGGGGACTACTTGGTGTGGTGGGGTTAGGTGGCTCTGTCTTGTATTCAGCTTGTATTTTTCTGATCCTAGTGGATCAGTGACTCTGGGTTGAAATATTGGCTTTGGAGAATACAAGCAACTAAAGACACCCTACCTACCACAGGCAACACCTGGGAGAGGAAAATCAGCTCTTCTCATTGCCTCACAACCAGTGTACCACCTGAGAATGTCCTTAAGTGAGCCAAGTTGGAGGTTGCTGTGATGCCACAGCACTCTACCCAAAGCAACAGCTTGAGACTCTGTCTCAAAAACAAAACAAACAAAAACAAAACAGTTAGGAATTCTTACCAGCCATGTACATCTGTGCACATATGTTGGGTGTCCTTATCCAAAGACCAGGCATATGGGTCAGTTATTTGCCACAGTGGTTAACTGAGGAGTGATTCTGGTATGGGAAACTGGGTGGTACGAAGATATACTGACCTCTCCCTTCCACACTCTGGCCTTCAACTCTGCCAAAAATTCAAAGGCCTCTTCAAAGTTAGACCCATTTCCTTGGCATCAATGAGAGTCGAATCCACCCTTCATTGTTTGGTTTTCCCCATTCTGAAGACCATCACCATTTCCAAGTTCATTGTCCAAAGTACTTTAATGCAGCCCATGCTGACAGTGAATAATTTAAATTGTTCTGATGAAATGAGAACTAACTCATATTTATGCAAATTCCCTGAGAGCCACCCACCCTCCTCATCTACCCACAAGACTCCGTGAGAAACTGGACTTCATGATAAGCAGAGATGCACTTCCTCTTCTGTTGGTTCTCAGAAGTTGCCAGGCTGGGCTGAAGGCACAAGGTTTCATCTGTGGGGTAAGTAGGCAGAGTGTCTTATCACAAAAAGTTAGAAGAATATTACTGTGGGTCTAGAAAAATCTGTCTCTGCTTACCTGCTGGAGGAGACTTCATCACATGTCCGGTTGCTCTGTCTCCTGAAAGTCCATATACATCATCTATCTCATGTTTATTTTTTCACTTCTGCTGGGACAAGGGGTGTTGTTATCTGGGAGAGTACAGCCTCCTCAGATGCATCAGCACACTCAGAGGAGGCAGAGAATTGTGTATTAAAGGGATTAAGGTGCACTAAAATGACAAATTTTCAATGAAGAGTGCAAAACAAATGTAGTTTATAACTAATTTGTTATGACAATGAGGAAAACAAAGTCTAAAAAAGTAAATGAGTTTCCTGAGAGCATATGGTGAATTGAGAACTTTTTCATACACCTCACTTCCATCAGAAATATGTCAGCGCAGCTAAACACCAGGCTAACAGTTGGAAGGGTTGTCTGCTTTATTTATGGTCAAATAAAGAGATAGGTCAATGTTTTTCAACCTGCTGGCTATAACACACTGGTGACAGGGGAATGACCATGAAACCATCCTAGTTTGTAGTAGTTAGCATGGCAGCAATCAAACATCAAAGGGACTATTATTTTCTTTTTTATTTTTATTTATTTTTATTTTTTCCCTTTTATTAAGTTACATAAACATAGATCATGAATACATTTATGTTTATGTGGGGTATAATGTGTTGATTTTTAAAATACAATTTGGAGTGCTTACATCAAACTAATTAATATAGCTTTCACCTCATTTACTTGATTATTGTGTTAAGACATATATGTTCTATACTTGACAGATTTGACTTGTACCCTTGCAATATGCTCCATAGGTGTGGTCCCACCATTTACCCTCCCTCTATCAAACCTCCCCCTTCCCTACCCTCTCCCTCCACTTCTCTGCTTCATCCTGAGTTATAGTTATGATCTATCTTTCATAAGAAACTATGAGTAAATATAAATTGGTTTCAAAAAAGTGCTGAGTACATTGGCTACTTTTTCTTCCATTCTTGAGATACTTTACTAAGGAGAATATGTTTCATCTCCATCCATGTAGGACTATTATTTTGTGAAATTTGGTTCACTCTTCTTTCTCTCTCTCTCTCCCTGTCCAAAAATATCTCCAAATCAGTGTCCCTAGAGGCCTTAGCTTTTGGGACAAATATTATAACTTCTTTTTATGTAAATGTGCTCACTTTAGTTAAATTTGTCTCAAACGGGGACTCAGAAAAGAATTGTCCTTGTTTGGACAGGGACTCTTGCATTGAGAGTTTCTCCAGAATATTTTAGAATACAATAGTTTTTGAAGGATGAGAAAGAAATCAAAAAGGGAGAGAAGGAAGGCAGGCAGAGAGAAACTAAGTTTAATATCTCCCATGGGACACAAGAGTCCCACTCCAGAATTTGATTTTCAACCAGGCAATATTGGTTACTGCAGAAATTGTGAGCTGGTGGTTCTCTAGTTCTGTATTCAAGGGAAAAGAGGATGTGACAGTCTCCAGTTTCCCATAGTGCCCATTGCCTTCTACCCTTGTCTTACTCATTTTTCCTGTCCAGCTGCCTGGTGACATTGGCATTTATGACCTTGCTTAGGTGGTTGTACATGGGCTTTGAGTCAGAGAGACTTTGTACACATCTTAGCTTTGCATTTTCTGAACAGCTTGACTGTGAGCAAGCAATATATTCTCTCTGAACCTCAATTTCTTCATCTGAAGAGTGGGGAGAAAATGGTCAGACCTACATCCTAAGATGCTTGTGGGATTTCAATGAGATGATAGCCACAAAGTTCTTACCAAGGCACTTGGCCCCATAGCAGAGCTCTTAGATGATTTTAGAGAGTGGTGATGGGAAGGATGAGAAATTTCTTACCCTAGGCTGAGGGTGAGGCATTGAGAGGCAATGGATGAGGCATTGAGAGTAAATTACTCCTTATGCATGCAGGCAGCCCTGAGGGGATCCAAACTGAAATACCAAAGCAGAACAGATGTGTTGAACAGGAGCATGGAGAAGGGACAGAGGTGCCAAGAGAAACCATTTTTAAGTAATTCTGTTTTCTCTTCTATTTATAAACTTCATTATTATTAATTTCTTCCTGCTACAGTAATATGCAAAATTTAGAATTACAAATAAATAAAAATGGATTTAAAATCACTCATACTGTCCTATGGACAAATTAAGTCTTAGAGAAAAATAAGTAATTAAAAAATTCATCCATAATGTCATTGTCCTGTTTGTATTTATAAGTCCTTTAAGTGTGATGTTATATACTTTGCTCTGTAATCTGCATTTTTGCTGATGCATAATCGTACCTTTGATGGGATACATTGATATCTTGATACATGCATATACAATGTGTAATGATAGGATCATAATACCCAACTTTTGTCCCAATGCTATATTATAATCATTTTTCCAAGTCACTTTAATAGCCTCTTACAACCTTAAATTTATTCATTGTATCACATTATTGGCCTTGCACAAATTTAAATGCTGCCTTTCTTCTTACTTACATTTTATGAATCTGCTTTCTTCAAACTACTTAGCCTATCCTCCCCATCAGCATCTTTGTCAGCCCTAGCCCTGCTCTTTGAGTGGCTTCACATACTTGCATAGCACATTATTTTTCCTAATGTGCACAAGAAGTTTTATCTTAGATCTCAGTGCTCATTGCCATTACCTTAGGATAGTGCTTTTTAGCTACTAAAATGATATATATACACAGGCAAGCACTTACTATGATACATTTTTTTCCTGAAAATATTATTGTTGGGGATTCATTGGAGGTACAAGATGTGTCACATATTGAGACCCCCACCCCCTTCCTTCTCTCTGCCCTTCCTTTCCCCCACCCCTCCGTCCTTCTCCCACCCCCCACTGTCCCCTTCACCCACCCCCCCACCATGTCATTGTCATCAAATCACACTAAGAACAATGTTTTCCACTTACATCCAGGTTAATACAAATGCTGTAAAATCTTCATTTTTTAAAATGGCTGAATAGTATTTTGTGGTATGCATGTACCACAGCTTGTTAATCCATTCCTGGGGTTGGGGGGCATTTAGACTGTTTCCACATTTTAGTGATTGTAAATTGAGCTGTGGTAAACAGTCTAGTACAAGTGTCCTTATGATAAAAGTTTTTTTTCCTTCTGGATAGATGCCTAATAATGGGATTGCAGGATCATTAGGAGGTCTAGCTTGAGTTCTTTGAGGTTTCTCCCTACTTCCTTCCAAAAACGTTGTACTAGTTAACAATTCCACCAGCAGTGTAAAAGTGTTCTCTTCTTTCCACATCTGTGCCAATATGTGCAGTTTTGCGATTTTGTGATGTGGGCCATTCTCACTGGGGTTAGATGATATCTCAGGGTGGTTTTAATTTGCATTTCTGTAATACTTAGGAATGATGAGCATTTTTTCATGTTTGCTAGCCGTTCATCTGTCTTCTTCAGAGAAGGTTCTGTTCATCTCTCTTCCCCATTGATATATGGGATTAGTGGCTTTTTTCCTGTGCATTAATTTAAGTTCTCTGCAGATTCTAGTTATTAAGCTTTTGTCTGATTTAAAATATGCAAATATCCTTTCCCATTGTATAGGTTGTCTATTTGTTTTGGTTGTGGTCTCTTTATCTGTACAGAAGCTTTTCAGTTTTATTAAGCCCCATTTGTTTATATTGGTGGTTATTGCAATTGCCATAGCAGTCGTCTTCACAAAGTCTTTCCCCAGGCTGATATCTTCCGGTGTTTTTTACTATGCTTTCATTGAGGATTTTTATCATCTCATCCCTTAAATTTAAGTCCTTTCTCCATCTTGAATTGATTTTTGTGAGTGGAGAGAGGTGTGGGTCCAGTTTTGCTTTTTTTGCATGTGGATATCCAGTTCTCTCAGCACCATTTATTGAATAGGGAGTCTCTCTCCAGTGTATATTCTTATTTGGTTTATCAAAGATTAGGTGGTTATAAGTTGTAAGTTTCATTTCCTGGTTTTCTATTTGATTTCAAATGTCTGTCTCTATTTTTGTGCCAGTGCCATGCTGTCTTGACTGCTATGGCCTTGTAGTACAGCCTAAAATCTGGTATGCTGTTGTCCCTGGCTTTATTTGTATTACTAAGAACTTCCTTAGCTATATGGGGTTTTCTCTGGTTCCATACAAAATGTAGAATACTTTTTTCCAAGTCTTGAAAGTACAATGTTGGTACTTTCATAAAGATGGCATTGAATTGGTAGATTGCTTTGGAAAGTATAGACATTTTAACAATGTTGATTCTTCCCAGCCATGATCATGGAATGTTCTTCCATTTGTTAGTGTCTTCTGCTATTTCCTTACTTAGGGTTTCATAATTTTCTTTGTAGAGGTCCCTCACCTAGATATTCCTAGGTATTTCTTATTTTTGAAACTAGGGTGAAAGGAGTTCTGTCCTTAATTAGTTTCTCATCTTGGCTGTTATTGGCATGTACAAAGGCTACTGACTTGTGGACATTGATTTAATATCCTGAGGCATTACTGTATTTTTTGATGACTTCCAAGAGTCTTGTGGTTGAGTTTTTGGGGTTTTTTAAGCATAAGATCATATTATCAACAAAGAGGGAGAGTTTGATCTCCTTTGCTCCCATTTGGATGCCCTTTATTTTCTTGTCTTGCCTAATTGTATTAGCTAGAACTTCCAGCAGTGTGTTGAATAGTAATAGCGACAGAGGACAACCTTTTCTGGTTACAGTTCTAAGTGGAAAAGCTTTCAGTTGAGCTCCATTCAGTAAAATATTAGCTGTGGGTTTTTCATAGATAGCTTCAATCAGTTTAAGAAATGTGCCATGTATGCCTATCCTCTTCAGTGTTCTAATTAGAAAAGGATGCTGGATTTTATCAAATGCTTTTTCTGCATCTATTGAGAGGACCATATCTTTGTTTTTGCTTCTGTTGATATGGTGAATAACATTTATGGACTTGGTATTAAACCAGCCTTGCATCCTTGGGATG